GGGTCTTCAGGCAGGCAGGCTGGCTGAGGAATTCTGGGAGTTGAAGTGCACAAGTCTCATAAAAGGGCCAAGTTGGAAGAGCCCTGCTTTCTGCCTCTTTCCCACCCGCGTTTCTCCGGTCCAAGAATTGCCCCCCCCCCGGGTCGGGTCAAGGGAAAGAAGCCCGGAGGGTGACAATGCAGCCCTGGCCAGATTCTTCCCCCACCCGGAGTTGCACAGCCAAGTTAAACCCTCTCCAAATCTGTTAGAAGATCTGGCTGGAAAACACACAACGCGTGCACGCACACACACAGCCCCATCCCCCAGCTTTCAGAGTCATAAAAGAAATCAATAGGGAGAACAAAGGGTTGTGTCAGAACTGGCCTGCAAAATCAGACCTCATGACAGAAAACGGAGCATAGCAGAACAGATAGCCAGTTCGGATTCCAAATTAACGAACGGAGAAGCTCATCTGAAAACTGGAGTCTAATTTTCCACGTGCCATTTCCCTAATCCCCAGGAAGACACCCCCCCTTTTAGAGCGGCACAATAGGACCAAACACCTGACATTTGAAAATGGGAAAGCAAAATTGTGTGTTGCTGAGGATTTCCTGTGCATGTGGCGAGATGAGGAGGGGGAAATCTTCAGAAGGCCTTCTGTCCTCCCCAGAGATGAGGCTGTTGCCTGGGCCTTGGGCTGCTTGCTGAGAACACAAACACACAGAGAGAGAGAGAGCGCGCTTGGTTCGGTTGGGTATTTCCATGCCAAGCAAGACAGGCAGGCAATAATTTATTCTAATTGGCACCCTGCTGCATTCTTCTACTACTTGAGGAAAATGGGCAGCTGCTGCCTCTTTCTCCCAACACCTGGAGAGACCAGTGGTTAATGGAAGAGGAGGAGGAGAAGAAGGAAGAAGAAGAGGGAAGGCGCTCTCTTCTGCAGTAGATGATTACTTTCGGAAGCTCAAGATGCAAAGACTAAATCTCTCTTTGAAGAGAAGACAAATCCCGGCAATCCTCGTTTGTTTTTATATTTTACACACTGTCGGGTGCTTTCAGACCTGGCCCCAACTGGTACGGTGATCTCCTGGGGCCGATGCCAGGGCGTTGGGGGGGCTCAAGGCCCGCTGTGTTGGCCCAGATGCAGCCAGACCTGTCTCCCATCATTTTAAAATGCTAATCCCGGCCAGGAAGGCTAAGCCAGTTGCTCACCTTCCTCCTCTTTAGTTCTCCAAGGATCAGTTCTGATCCAGGTGCTCCCTGTTCAAGGGTGACCGCTAAATCACTACCCTCACTGGTGGCCCTTGTGCTCGGAGCAAGATCTCTTAGCCTCAGCTACTTTAAGACGCAACTTCCAGAATTCCCCATCCTCGTGTGGATTTGAATTCCCAGAATCCCCAAGCCAGCCTGCTGACAGAGGAATCCTGGGAGTTGAAGGCCACACATCTTAAAGCTGCTGAGGTTGCAGGAAAGTTGCTGATCCGTGGGGTCGGCTCTTCTGGAGATGGAGACCTTCCCGAACCCCCCTGGGTTGAGACTGAAACACAGGAAGCTTCGTTGGTTTGTATGGTTGCCTTCTTTCCAAAAAAGGGGCTCCCCACTCCTCCATGCCCTCCCCCAATCAGACAGTTATCCACAGGGGATCAAGAAGGAGGTTTTGATCAGATGAATAGGCAACCCCTCCCTCGCCCCCCTCTGCCCCGCCTCTCGGGCTCCCCCTTCCTGAGTGATTCCCCCCTCCCTGCCCACCAAGGAACCCTGGAGCATTTTAATGAAGGGCTGGCACAGCAGCTAATCACCCCGTCTGCCTCTGCTTCCTGGGCTGCGCATATTTTCATGTGGGGGTGTTGGATCCACATGGATCTCCTGGAACTCTGCCAGTGTTTATGCAGGAAGAGCCGGTTCGGAGGGGAGGTGGATGCAGAGATGCACTCACCAGTCAAAGCGTCACGTTTCGATGTTCCCACCTGCAGGACGTGGCCGTGTGCGGCATCCCAGAACTTCCCAGGACCCCTCCAAGGAATCTCAGGGGCTGGGGCTGCCTTGTTTTCCTCTTCCTCTCCCCTATTTCTGCGTCCCTTTGCACCCTTGGAGCCACCTTCCTCCGATGCTGGGCCAAACAGGCTGTTTCCACTAGATCAGGAAAAGCAAAGGAAGCAGTGAAAAACAAAAAATAGCCTGGCTGCACATGATGTGTCTGACAGCAGCCAGGAAGCTTTTGGCAACCCTGCCAGACATCGGTGGGAACTGAAGAAAAGCAGCCTTCAGAAGTAGAATCTCGTCCTGCCTGTCCCAGGGTGGGGCTGTTGGTGGAGTTGTCACTCACAGCCCCAAAAAAAATCAATAATATCTAAATAGAAGCATTAAAATCGTTTGAAAAAAAAATTAGAGAGCCTGTGGGTATTTTGGTTAAGATGTTGGGCTGGTACAGATTCTGGTTAACTCTTAGTCTTGCAACACCCTGTGGACTTTGGGGCCAGTCACTCTCCTTCAGCTCAGCCCACCTCGCAGGAATGTTGTGCAGTGCAAAATAGATCTTATCCTGAGCCGACATCCAGTAAAAGCACATGCTAAGTCAAAATACGCCTGTGAATATCTTCCTCCGCCTCTCAAGTAGAGGCTTGGAAAGGGCTCCCCATTCCCTGATTCGTTCCTCATTTTCCTTTCAAACTGGAAAGGCAGGCTGCAGATCTCGCCACCCACCCACCCGGTTCCCACCAATCTGCTTCCCCAGACTGACGGGGAGGGAGGAAAAAAGTACGGCAGGTGCCTCTGCACAGCAGGCTCAGCTTGGTGGGCATCGCCCAGAACTCGGACTCCGTCAGTTGGGCACTTTTACGGTCTTGTGCCTCTCTTGCGCTGCCCAGAATGCAGCGGGCTGGGGCAGTCTGCAAATACACTTAAATAAATAACCAGCATCCTTTAAAAAGCGAGCCTATGAGGAGCCTAGACAAGGGTTTATTTCAGCAACCAGCTTAAGGGTGAGGTGAGCACAGCCAACCTGGCAATCTTCTTTTTCCAAGCAGGGGGAGAGCCAGGAATCTCACCAACCTGCTCAGAGGAAGCCAAAAGGGAGAGTAAGAAAACAGATGCTGAGCCGCATCCCTCCGTGGTCCTGGTCTTTGCCAAATGAGAGGCCAAGGGCATCTGCGGGATGCTAAGTGATGCCAGCCACATTTGGCCTGGCAAAGTTCCTTTGCCCGTTTTTTACCTATCTCCTCCCAAAACCCTACGCACCACGATTCCCCAGACAGAAGAGAAATGTGGTGCCTTGGAACAAAAGGCCGGAGCAACACAGATGCAACTCCCCTCCCCAGTTGGGCACAATGAGGCCCAAGGGACTGGGTGTGCCCCACGCACATCTGCCCAGGCAACTAACTTCCTACTCAGTGATCCAAACCCGGTTAAAAGGCTGATGACAGAGCAAAGCTGGGGGTGTCGCTGATGCCAAGGATGCTCCAGTGACAGGTCAGGGGCTGTTTGTTTCATCCACATCCTGGCGTGTTTGAAATGAGGTCAGCCAGGAAAAATGATCTCTCTCTGTGTGTGTGTCTCTCTCTCCCTGCTCTTGTTTGGTCAGGGGAGGGACAGATGGGGGCTTTTAGCGTTTTCTATCCTGTGCTGCCCAGAATGCAGTGGGCTGGGGCAATTTGTAAATATGCTTAAATAAATAAACAGCAACCTTAAAAAAGCAAGCTACCCAAAGGCTCTGTGCTCACAAACAAAGCAAAGGATTGGGACAGGTTGATTCACACGGCTGAGTTCCCATGACACGTTGCTCTGCTAACCCGGTGGGAAAGAAGCAACTGCCTGCTTCCTCCAAGGCAGGAGGACACCAGGGAGAAAGATGGAGAACAGAAAATCCTGCTGAACAGTTCAAACGTGAGTTGGGCCGCGGGTCAGTGAAGATTCTCAGATGCCCAGGTAAAATCGTCTGAAAGCTGAGTCAGGGCAACTGGTCGTATCTTTTTGTTGGTTTGAGACAATTCTACAGTTAACCAGTGGAACAGCCTGCCTCCAGAAGTTGTGGGTGCTTCATCACTGGAGGGTTTTTAAGAAAAGACTGGACGTCTATCTGTTTGAAATGGTATAGGGTCTCCTGCTTAAGCAAGGGGGTGGACTAGAAGACCTCCCAGGCCCCTTCCAGCTCTATTCTGATTGATTGATCTGGCGCACTTCAAACTACTAACCAGACGGCTTCCTAGGCAGAAGGTTGTCCAAGGCCCTCTCGCCACCTTGTGGCCAAATGAGGCATTTTAGAAAGATTTGTGCCCACATCTGGGCAACTGGCAGGGGTTGGGTGCAGGGCCACTGGCCCCCAGCCTCCTGACCAACAGGCGGGATAATCCTGCAGATCCACTGGAAAAGACAGCAAGACAATGGAAAAATCTGATTTGGGGACAGGACCCCCCCAAAAAAACGGAGCAGAAACTTTCTGAGCTACCTTTTGCATCCACTACACAAATTCAACAAATGGTTACTTGTTTTTCCCCTAGAAAAGCAACAGGAGCCAGCTGAGGGGGAAAGAGGCTTGCTTGGGTTCGTGGCCAGGGGAAAAAAAGTTGTTTTCGCATTTTAGAAGCTGGTGATGGGTTCGAGCGGATGCGCCTGCCTTGAGCGCAAGCGGGGCAGGGGGCAGGAAGCCCCCTGGGAGAAGAGGAGGGAGGAATTCCCCTCTGCGAGGTTGCCTTCTGCAGGTGCAGCTTCTTTGTTCCTCACACACTTGCACACCCCTCCAGCAAACATATTCAAATACATTTCCTGTCTCATTTTTACGCACAGACTTTTTTCCTCTTCTTTTTCTGGCCTCAAACTACCTTCCTGACCCGTGGCTGGAAGTAAAACTTTGGGGTGCTGCTATACACAGAAGGCAAAAGGCAACCCAGCCTGGAACTTCTCCAAAGGAACTCCAGGCTGGCTTTTTCAACAGGCCTTTGCTGGACAACCGAGTTGGGCCAACCAGGCTGGAGAAGTGGTGTCTTTGAGGTCTTGCTGTGGGCCAGAGAAGGACCAGCCCCCAAATGGAAGCCCTGGCTTTGTATAACTTCCAAGCGTCCGAGAAGGATGAATTGGCCTTTAAGAAGGGAGACACGCTCAAGGTAACTGGGGAGGGGGGTTGTCTGGGTTGTTGGCAGATCAAGCCCCAAGTGCACTTGTTCTGAAATACACAAAAATCAGATCCAGTTGGACAGCTGAATAAAACTGGCCATCTGAAGCAAGCTCAGAGATGACAGATGATACATAGATGAGAGAGAGAGAGAGAGAGAGAGAGAGAGAGACGATATAGTTCAGATCTACCTTGCTTAAATTCCCAAACTTAAAAAACACCCCCAAGAGCATTACATTAATCCTGCTTTTGTACAGAGTGTTCCGTGTTTCTAAAAAGTGTGCCTAGAACCTGAAATAAGCAGAGCCATTTTGACTGAACCCTGGTGCCACTCGGCTTCGGGAAAATAATCTATACTTGAACCTAAAATATTCCCCTGGGCTTCCTCAATGCCAGGATGGAGTCTACTTAAGAGGGTTCATCTCCCACCACCACCACCTCAGCTACAAACCAGCCCCTCCACAGCCTTCTGCCACTTTTCCCCCACAGCTTCTGCCCGATGTTTGCTTATTCCTCCTTTTGAGTCCACAGATTCTAAACATGGAGGAGGACCAGAATTGGTACAAAGCTGAGCTGTTGGGTTTGGAAGGATTCGTCCCCAAAAATTACATCAAAATGAAACCCCATCCGTAAGTAGCTTTTTCTTTCCCACTTGGGCAAGACGGATAAAACTCAATAGTGCTATTATGGGGCTGGATTATGATGTTAGACTTGCCCTGGGCTGTTCTGCTCGGAGAGATTTGATGAAGAGACTGCCTAATCTCTGACCAGTATCTCTTAACAAACCGTGGGTTGCCTGATCCCCATTAATTCCCCTTCTGAGACACGGAGCCTTTCCCGCCCCCGCCTGGCCTCAGCTGCCAAGGGCTGTCCCAAGGGAGAAGTCAAGAGGATCCCGACCCTGAGCTGTGTCTGCAGGGTTAGGCGCAAAGCGTGTTTCCAACCTATTTCAAACACGGTCCACAGATCCTTCCTGTAATAAAGAGGGCTTAGTTCAAGTTCTCACCGAAAAGAACTCAAGCATGGCCATCCGCTCTCGTTCTCACAGAGTCAAAACTAAACCCCACGCGCTCTTCAGCTACAAGTGGAACTGAAACTTTCTCGGCCACCCCCATGGCTGTCGCATTTCATAAGTTGGGAATCTTGGCCTGCTCTTTCTCGCCCCTAATTCCACCTCCTGCCTCTGACCCTCCAGGTGGTATTCTGGCAAAATCTCCAGGCAAGGCGCCGAGAAGGCCCTCCTCAAACGACGGTTCCGGGGCGCCTTTCTCATCCGGGAGAGCGAAAGCAGCCCGGGGGATTTCTCCATCTCTGTGAAGTAAGTGCTTTCTTTGCCTTGATGCTGGCGGGAGGCAAGTGTGTGTCCCTCTGCTGTGAGGACACAAGGACCAAAATCGCCTGTCAACAGAACCCTGAAGACACGCCTGCTTTACACAACCATTGCTGTCAGCTGCAGCTTGGGGCACCAGGGGGTGCTCTCTGAACACCAGGAAACAGCCGAAGCGGCTTTTCCAGGAAAAAAACAACAACACCAGGGCACTTGGAAGGAGCCAATTTCCCAGCTTTGGGAAATGAGAGAGCAATTAAAATAAAATAAATTCCTACTAGCCCAATGCACGCTTCCGCTTCTGCATAATCTTGATTGGCTATTCAACAGCAGGTATTTTTGCTTGTATCGGTGGTCCACCCATCTTAAATGGCTGGGGCATTCTGGGAGTCGAAGTCCACCCCCTCAAAGTCACCAAAGTTAGAAACGCTGCTCTAAGGGCATCCAGCATCTTTCTTCCAACTCTTCCTCTTTGCTCCTCACATCCCATTGTTCTGCACACAAAGAAGCCCCCCCGTCCTCATCCATGCACATCTGGAGGGGCTCAGCCACTCCTCGGTCCCTCCCACACCTGCCATGGCCCCCTTGGCACAACCGGGTAGGCAACAATGCCACCCTCCAAACAAAGTTGCTTTGCTGAAGGAGACGCCCGGGAGGGAGGGAGGGAGGGTGGCAAGAGGACACAATTCAGATTCAAGTTCAGACTGATGCGCAGAGCCTGACGTGCCAATCTCCCAGCTAGCTTTCTGTGCCAAGGGCAACCCATTAGGGAGAGAAACCCTGGGGGGGGGCGAATATGACTTCATCCATCACTTTGCCAGCTTGGCACCTTTTCCCCACCTCGACCCATTTTGTATTCAAAGTCAAATCTGGGCATTTTCTTCCTTTCTCTTTGCCTTGTTCAAACGTGACCAAGAAGAGACTTCACAGCACCTCCTCTGCTTCCAAAGGACTAGAAACCTGTAGCAACAAGCCCCGAAGCTATCCGTTAAACATGACAGGACTGACCTCTCCTTTCTTTACCAGGGTGTGGTTCTGCTCCCCGTGAGCACAATTCTCAGAGGCCTCTGGAGCCCATTTTATCACTTTGTGCCTGCAGGATTTATCCCTGCCGTTTCTGATGAGGGGTCTGCCCCGCTTCCTGTCACAGGAGAGGCCTCTGCTTCCTCTGCTCTCCCTGGTTCCCTGGAGTGTGAACAGACCAGACACATCAGGCTGGGGAGATGGCTTGACCCTGTGCCCTCTGCACATTCTTGAAGGACCTCAATCAGCCCTCCCCCTCCCACCCAGCCTTCATACTCTGGAGCCACTGAGGCCACAGGCTCCAGGACTTCACATCTTGCTTCAAGTCTTTGCTGGCTGGGGAACTCCAGGAGTTGAAGTCCACAAGTCTTAAACGTTGCCAAGTTTGGAGACCCCTGACCTAAATATAAGTAGTTCTCGACTTATGACTACAGTTGGGGACCAGAATTTCTGTTGCTAAGCAAGGCGGTGGTTGACTGAGTCACGCCCATTTTACAATCTTTTTTGCCACGGTGGGTTAGGCAGATCCCTGCGGTTGTTAAGTGAATGATATAGTCGTTAAGCAAATCTGGTTTCCCTTATGGACAAACCAGCCTGGTGGGTTGCAAGCCAAGATTTCCAGCTGAGCCTGATGTGCAAAGTCATCTCATGGAGGCATCCAACCAGCCTCTCCTGGTGCTCAGGAGCCAAGGCTCTCGAGTTGGGAGGGGTCCCCTTCTCAGACCACCTTTCAAATGGGTTGAATAGTTCCTAGGTGTGTTTTTAAAATATGACAGGTACGAGGCCCAGGTGTGTCCTCTTCAGAGGGAGGAGGAAAACCTCGAACTGAGCTTGTGGAAGAGGCTGAGATGATTTGTCCTATATCAACAAGGGAGTTGAGTTTCCAGAGACAGCAATGAAAAGACGCTTCCTTCATGCCCTCAATTATATGGCCAAAATGGTGGAGTCATCCTGGGTGGATTTGCAGGGCCAAAGGGCTGTAAACTCATTTCCAGAATCAAAACACACCCCTGTGCCAAGATCTCATCACCTACAAGCCTTATTCTTCTCTCTGCCCAGTTCCAGACATGGAGGTGGACCTGCCCTTCTAGGAGAAAGGGACAAAGTAGGTCCTGTTCCAGACGTGAGGTCTCCTCCCCTGCTTAGACCAGACAGGTTTTACCAAAGTTGCTCCAGAAGCTGCAAAGTCAGGTCAGCCTTTGCATTCTTCCGTAACTCCATCCTCCTGCCTCCTTTTAGGAGACGTCAACAGGCCAGGATCCTCCTCCTGAGATGGAAAACCACAGGGTTTAAAGCTGCTTTGAGTTCTCCCCCAAAACTCAGCCATGTCTAATTCTACCATTTTTCCTCCATCCAACCACCCACCCATCCATCCATCCATCGAATTTCTATAGCCACCCATCTCAGTCAAGGACTCTGGGCGGCTTACAAGTCAACATAATGTCAATTTTTCTTCTCCTGCAGTGGGTCCTTCTTCAAACCAACCCACAAAGCTTTCTGAACTGCTTCTTCCCTCCCTAGCAGGGCACGTCCCTCCAACCAACGCATCCCCAGCGCCACAAGCCCTGCTGCCCCGTCTCCCGGTTTTTCTTTCCTTCTCATCCCAGGAAGGTGAGCACTCCAGGCATGGGCACCCCAGAGCAAAGAAATTTGCTGTCCGGTGCATTGCCTGAAATCAAAACATCGCTCAAACTCTCTGGGATGTTTAATCTGCAACTTTGCAGATGCAAGTTGTCACTTGACACAGGAGCTGTGGAAGCAAAGCTGTTTCCTGTCGCCTCTTTGTGTTTATATCAGCTTTATGTCTCTCCTGTTTCAGCAGCCGAAAGCTTATAAGGCAGAGCAAGGAGAACAGGGTATAATTAGGGCTTAACCCAAGTGCTAGAATTTTGAAGGATGGGACTTTAAAGGAAAAGCAGCTTGCAAGTAGGGCTTAGGTTGAAGCGGCCGGCCAGGCAGATAAATAAACCATGAAAGTTCCTTTTGGAGGCTGGAAGGTGATTTGGGATCCCTCTGAGCATTTAGAGCAGGGGTGTCAAACTGGCAAAGTCACTGTGACGTGTAGGTTTCACTATGATGCATCCGGCCCCGGGCCGGCAGTTTGATGCCCCTGATTTAGAAGAATGGTAAAATTGCTGAAACTTTTTGGCCTCTGATAATTCAACCCAGTATTTTCCAGAGATGGACACATGATATGTAACATCACCCTACTTCTTCCTCCATGATGGACTCTGATCCATGTGATAAATTCCCAGAATCACCAACCTGGGGGCTTTGAGGCCATCAAGTCAACCCCTGCTCCATGGAGGAAGCCCAATCCATCACCAAAATGCCCAGCTGTGCTCTGAGCACCCCACCTCTTAACTTCGTCCTCTGCTTCTCTCCTAGCTACGGAGACCAAGTGTTGCACTTCAAAGTCCTCCGGGAGAAAAAGGGCAAGTACCACCTCTGGGAGGAGAAGTTCAACTCCATCAATGAACTGGTGGACTTCTACCGAACCACCACCATCGCCAAGAAGAGGCAGGTCTTCCTGAGAGACCATGGAGAAGCCGAGGAGGTAAGGAACCACCCAGCTTCCCCTCACTTTTTTTTGATCCTGTTGTAACTGTGAACAGTCACTAAACAAGTGGTTTTAAGTCAAGGACTACTTGCAATTGAACCCCTAAATTTAGATGTTCACCTCTTCTGAAGCCTCTCTTGATCTCCTGGGCTCCCACTGTCCACCTGGCCGAGGCTGACCTTGCAGGACATCTTGCCTCAAGGGGTTCCATCAATCAAATTTAGATGAGGTGGACAAAGGCGTTCCACATCTTCTGTCCTTTGGTCTCGTTGAATGATCCCCAACCTCTCATTCTGAGAAGGAGCCACCATCTCATCTCCCACCCCACGTCAACCACAGAGCTGGGACAAGAGGGGGGGGGAGAAGTATGCTAACAAGACCCCACTTTTCTTCCTTCTTTTTCTTTTCCACGCAGCCCAAGAAGCTAACATTTGTCCAAGCCCAGTTCGACTTCTTGGCCGAGAACCCCTCACAGCTGAGCTTCTGCAGAGGAGACATCCTCAAGATTCTGGACTGCTCTGACCCCCATTGGTGGAGAGGGAAGCTGGGGGTGAAAATCGGCCTTTTCCCTCGGAACTACGTTTTCCCCCTGCGCATGTGAGCTGCCTGGCTCGCTCGCAGACGTGATCAGCCGTCCCATCTGGACTTTTTCTCCTCTTGCACAGAGGCAACTGATGCTCCGTCTCACCCCTCGCCAGAGCCAGGCAAACTTTTCATTTTCACATTCCGATCTTAAAAGAGGCGCGTTGCACACCCGGATGGCCCTTCAGAAGCCGAGACTTTGGGATTCATCGCCGGTTGAAATACTTTGCAGACTGATCCCCATCACTGGAGCCCAAACAAACCTCTGGATATTTTTAATTATTTTGTTTTATAAAACAATATATTTTTAGAAGTAAAACTGCAATCCAGCTTCAATCGAAGCGCTGCTCTAAGCCAGCCCTTGTTCAAAGCTGTCTTACGGCCCAGGTTCACCTTACCGGCATCTGATGAAGTCAAAGAGCGGAAAGCCTTTTGTGAATTTATGTGCTGGAATGACCTACAGCTGGAACAAGAGAACCCCGATCTGCTGGTGCAGCACTGTTGAGGCCATTTGTCATAAATTCCTACCACCCCATATTTGTAGAGAAAAACTACAATTCCCAGCATCCCTTGACAAGATGCATTGACCGCAGACGTACAGTGGAGAGGTCCTTCCTAGAGATACCCTGCGGAGCGTGCTAGCTGGGGAATTCTGGGAGTTGAAGTCCACACATCTTATAGTGGCCAAGGTTGAGAAACATTGCTCTGGATGTCGCCTCCCCCCACCCAGCACCCCCAGTTGCTCTGGTCTTAGAGCCCCTCTTTGCCTGCCGCAGGAGGAGATTTCCTGCAGATCTTCCGGGTATCCTGCAGAGTTTTGATCTCATACCAAGGAGGAGATCCTCAAAAGTTATCCTATTGATGCCAAAGTGATTCCCACCAGTGGACTCAGGAAGCAGATGGGGGAATTCCCCCGTTTCTTTCTCTTTCTAAACATTTCATTGGCATTTTGTTATCCAATCCAGCTCTCTCTGCTCCACAATTCTCTTGGTCAGCTGCCAAGCGCAAGGAATGAAGGTGCTGATAATCATCCAGCAGGCCAGAAAGTCCACCGGTCCCCTCCTTGACCTTCTCCTGCCCTCCTAATCTTTATGAGCCTTGCCCCAAATCAGTGTTTGCTCAGCTCCCTGCAGAGGTGCTCCCAAAGCTTATCAGGACCACTGTAGGGCTGGGAGCTGTTTTCCACCAGGTGGGCCTCCCCGGCTGGGGACCGACTACAATGCAGCCTCCAAGTGGCCCTCAGACCACACTGGGGCCCTCCAAGGAGACGGGAGGGCGGTCCCCGTCTTCCTAAGCGGCTCTTCTCTGCCAGAGATACAAAGTTCAAAAAGTGATTTATTGGGTTTTATCTGCTGTGCCACTGGGCTACTTGAAAAGCTGTTGAGCTCCCAGGACGCACGAACCCCTTGCTGCTCAGAACTCTCTCCCGCCCCCTCCCCAAGTCATTTCTTTTATTCTTAGAAAAAAAAGTCTCTTAAGGAAATAAAGTTTTCCATTCAAAACCCTTTCCCCTTCAGAGGAATATTCTATATGCCTCCCTGAGATCCTTTTCTGAAAGTCCCTTTGCTTTGTCAAGGACCCCAGGGCTGAAATCCGTTGAGAAGCACCCACAGCCCCTCTTTTAACTTCATGCTTGAATACAGACACGTCCCTTCCTTTGATTTCATCCCTCTTGGCCCCACCCCAAACGAACTCTGTCACGAGGCTCCTTCAAGCGAAGTAAGCGTAGAAAAAGAGGTTGACGCAGATGAGGATCACGGCGTTGGCAGAGCAGACCTGGGACCAGAAGCCAGTTGCGGCTGCCCTCTGCCTGCCCCGGCCACCCTCCACGTCCCTCTCGGTGCAGGAGGACCCCAGCTGGAGGATTCCTGGGGCAGCTGGCAGGGAGAGAAGGAAAAGCTCAGAGCTGGCATTAAAAATCGGGGTGCCCAGAGAGGGCACTCTCCACAGACATAATTGCCACCTAACCGCCACGTGCAGTAGCAGTCCACCTTAGAGTAGGAATGCCAAGGAGAACAATCAAGAGGTTTGCCTCCTGCTAGCCGTGGAATGGGAGACACATTTCATTATTCTGCCCTGCCTGGCACATGTGGCTGTCTCTGTCTCTTTTTTTTCCCCTCCTTCAGCCCTGGAGGGGGCTGGATGGCCTTTGGGTGCCCCCCCCCCAGAGTGTACTGTCACTTTCTATCCCGGGGAGGCTGAGTCCCAGTCCACTGCTCCCACTTTTTTGTCTTCATCCTCAGAACAGGACTGCCTTGTTTGGCATCAACTCTAGAGAAGTTTGGCTGCTGCCCCCGAGACCCACCGTCTTCCTCTGCTCCGGGCAGGGATGGGGGTCCAGGGAGATGGGCAGATGGAGGCGCCTCCAGGGACCGCCGAGTCCACCAAGTCACGTCCTTTATCTACAGTGTTTTCCAAAACAGAAAAATAAAGTTGTGGCAGCTGATAGCATATGGATCCTTCCCTTTCCTTCCCACTTATAGGCTGGATCTTGCCAGGGCCAATAAGAAGAGGATCATTGGGGAGGGAGGGGTCAATTTCCAGCCGAGAGCATCCTTCTGATGGCACCTCCCACCCACTCATATTTTCCCTCCCCCCTGCGACCTGGGGAGCCCTGGGGAGCGAGCAGGAAAGCAGCCAGGCCTACTCCAGAGGAAGGCACCGGTTCTTGAGGAGGGGGCTCAGAAGGGATTCCAGGGCATGCTCTTCCCCAGAACGTCTCTGGGCAAAAGGCCGCTTTGTTTGGGGAGGTGGCTGTTTTGAAGGTGGGGGGGGGGGCGGATTCACTCTTGGGAGGGGCAGGCTCAGCCCTGCCTGCCTCCCGCCAGCGCAGGAATGCGAGGCCGGCTCGCCCATGGGGCTCAGCCGTGGCGTGGTCAGCCGGAGGCCCTGAAGCTCCGCGTCCCCAGCCTTGTGGGCTCTCAGTTGTGGCTTCGGCTTAGCCAGAGGCCCAACCCAGCCCTCCTCTGAGTCAGCCCACGGAGCACCAGGCATAAATCCAGCCTGGAGATGGAGCTCACCTCTCCCCCTCCGAGCGGTGTCTGTGGGGCCAGGCGTACCCCCTAATTCTCCTCCCTGCCCCCAAATGCTCTGCCACAATCTCAGTCCTTCCTGGCCCTCAGAACCCCCGTTTGAAAAGGGAGTCCCAGGGGCACCTCTGTGGATGCCCCCGGCTTTCTTGCCCGCCCAGGCCCTCCAGGGGCTCTGCCATCCCACCTTCCTGCACTGACCTGGCCTTCAGGCGGGGGCGGCGTCAGCCAGCTGATGCCCACCACGGTGACCGCAGTCAGGAGACACAGGAGGAGAGCGAAGTGGAGGTAATGCAGGTCCCTCACAAATGAAGGGCGGGGGTCCAGGATGCCACAGCGGGGGACGGGGTAGGCAAACTCCAGGACCATCCGGCTCAGCCCCACTGCCAGCCCCACCGTCAGACCCCAAAAGGCCCCCTGCACAAGAAAGCCAAGACAGTCTGGACCAGGGGTGTCCAGCTTTGGCAAGGTTAAGACTTGTGGACTTCAACTCCCAGCATTCCCCAGCCAGCACTCCCCAACCAATGCTATGGTAGGATTCATTCAATGGGGGTCCCACACTTTTCACTCTAAATCCAGGTGAGCCAGTCACGGCCACTGTCCTCTCCAAGCCAGCCTCCCCAGCCACGATCACATACGCCACAAGGCTCTCCTGACTGGGGCTGATGGTTTGTACCCTGGCTAGGTGTGCAAAGGGCTGCACAGATTGGTTTCGCCTCTCCAAGCAGTGCTGGGGCAGCCAGAGGTTTGGCACTGTTGAAGGCACGCACGCACGCACACACACACACACACACACACACACACGCTACAGAAGTCACCTGCTCGTTGGCTCTCTTCCAAAACACAGCCAGGAGAAAGACGGCGGTGACGGGAGGGGCCAGGTAGCTGGTGACCGACTGAATGTAGATGAAGAGTTGACCGCTGCTGGAGCTCTGCAGGATGGGGAGCCACACCACACTCACCACCACCAGGACAATGGTCACCACCCTGCCAAAGCAGCAAAGACACCCCCCGCAGGTCACTTTGCCCTTCCTGTCCCCCCCCCCCCGCTCACTTTCCCCGTTTTCCACCCTCCAGAATCACCCCGAGGGGCTTCTCCTCCTCCTCCTTTCTCCTTCTTTTCTTCCTTCTTCTCTCCTTCTCCTTCCTGGTTACAAGGGTATCCCCCAACTCAAATAACAATTCAAAGCCACCGAGCAACACTCCATCCTCCCTGAAGTTCTCACTTATTTTAAGTTTTCTACTTCCTTAGGATTTCACGCACTTCTGCAAAACTGAGGATGATGGCTAACTGATGGCTAGATGAGGGACAGACCCAACCCCGAACATCTGAAATCCATTCCAAGAAGGAGATATAAAGGGCTGGGACGGTGAGCTTGACAAACAGCCTAGTCAACCACCAGATAAACAAAATCTGAGTCTAACCCAGAAGCGTAATTTGAGAAAGCAGCTCAGAATCGACCTTCCCGGGTTGTCTGAGAAGTAAAAGCAAAGCGGGGTGGGGGTGGGGGTGTGGAAATGCTTCCAGACTTGCAACCTTCTGTTTCTCCATCCTTACAATCAAGGTAGCATTCATGATGTTGGTTTCCCAGTCTGGACTAGCTCAGAGGGTTGACACACCCTTGTAAACACACCCATGTCCCCTTGCAGCCCATCATATGATGGAGGAAGGAATTTTGCAAGAAGAATTTTGTGGAAACTCAGCTGACTCACTCTCGATTTCAGGGGCAACCCCTAACCGAACCCACTCATGGCACACCAATTCGGAAGTGACTGTGTCGCCTGCTTCTCCCAAGCATTGCGGCATGAGAGTCACTGCGGAAGGAATTCAGATGTAAAGCTTATTAACACCTTGCAAGACATCACTCGACACGCCCCAGCCAGGAAGGGTGTCTCACGGCTACTGAGGAGGTCCACCAAGTTCTGGGAAGCCAGCAACGAAAGAGAAAAGAGAGACACGCGGTTAAGACATTCCACCACACCATACAAA